ATACCTACCTCCGCTCGCTTTAGAACTTCGCTTTATTTTTGACCCCGTTTACTACGTCGCGGTTCCCGAGGACTCGCAATATCTCCATTAAACTACAAGCATCTCGGTTTACCATTTTCTATTCTTCAAGCTACTTTCTAGGCTAACTTTTATGTAGTACAATCGCGGACTTGACGTGTTACTTTACGTGCTGTGACTTGACGCGTTACGTTACATGATGTGACTTGATGCGTTACTTTACATGTGGTGATATTGTGGCGGTGCGATATGGAAGTACTGCGCGTGACGATAACGATGTACATTGTAACACGTGAGAATTACAAGTGGGTACGGAAATTACAATTCATAAGAATGGCATAGCATATACGTTAATCATATACGCTATTAACCCTTTGCACTCCCTTTGTTGTGGTACAACACATTTCTCTTGGATCTCATAAATATCTCAAATAAATAGATTGACACATATTTTCATTTACTTACTACTTATGATAAATGTAAAATATATTTGTCACTCTGCACTGTTACTATATATTTATCTAACAACCCCTTTCTGTATCTATTTTATAAATTAAACATATCGTAGGTTAAAGAAACTAAGGAGTGCCAAGGGTTAACATATTAAGTCTACACATTTCTAATACAAATATGAAACTCGATATAAAAAATCGCTTATAAGTATTTCAAATAAATAGATTGAATGTATATATTTTCATTTACTTACAATTTATAATAAATGTAAAATGTATTTGTCACTCTGCACTGTTACTATATATTTATCTAACAACCCCTTTCTGTATCCATTTTATAAATTAAACGTATCGTAGGTAAAAGAAATTAAGGAGTGCCAAGTGTTAACATATTAAGTCTACACATTTTTAATACAAACTAAAACTCGATATAAAAATTCGCTTATAAGTATTTCAAATAAATAGATTGAATGTATATATTTTCATTTACTTACAATTTATAATAAATGTAAAATGTATTTGTCACTCTGCACTGTTACTATATATTTATCTAACAACCCCTTTCTGTATCTATTTTATAAATTAAACAGATCGTATATAAAAGAAATTAAGGAGTGCCAAGAATTTACATATTAAGTCTACACATTTTTAATACAAACTAAAACTCGATATAAAAATTCTATTGGAGAAATGATTAAAGACACCGAAGCAACGTAATTCGTTATTTCAATCTGGCCATTTCGTTACGAGTTAAAAGTACGCAACACGGAATCCATTTTCGAGGAGAGAGAAAACGATTCTTTCGCCTGTCATTTTCCTTTTTCGTACGAGGGTGTAGAGAAGCGTGCGCGCGCGTGCACGAGTACAATGCACTTTCAGGCGTGCACACGCATCCCCGGCGAATCCCGAGTGTCCCGATCGCTAATGGTTTGCCGGGGTTGGATGGTCCAGTGATTAATTGTGTCAGCCATGATTACATTACAGAGGACGCAGATCCACTATATTATGTAGGATCGTGCATGCGTGTATCCCGCGGCCTGGTCCTTTTGCACGTGCGTTCAACGCACTCGCGCGTGTTGCCAGGATGTCGGAGAAGTAGCCGAGCACCCGCTTCTGTGGTTCATTGATCGTGCAACACTCCACGATTCCCTACATCTTCAATCTGAATACACTCGTAGAATCAAACCTTTCGAAACGTGTCTTTTAAAAAACCGAATCGGAAAATTTATAATTATTTTCAAGGTTTATGACTACTCTTGCAATGTCTGATTATTTGTTATTATTAGATCTCTTTCAGGTGTGATTATAAATTTTGGATCATCAAAATTGGCACTTGTTATAAAAATTTTTAATTTCAAAGTATTGTATAAAACTTGACCCTTTGCGCTCAAGAGGTGGTTCTCAGTCGCCATTTTATTTAGTACAATAAATTGAAACAAGCATTGTTTAACTGATTCTATAATATGACACTATAATTTGTCTATAATATGACAAATAATAACCTCAAGAGAAGTCATTTAACTTTTTAACTGAGTTTTAAAGTTGCTGTTTGTAAACAGTCAGATTACCTTTGAGTGCAAAGGACAACTCTGTAAAATCATAAATCGGTATCTAAAGTACTTTAGGCTTTCAGAGTATCGATGATATTGTTGAAATATTTTTGAGCGTTTTTGTACTATGAGCGGGTATTAGCACCTCGGCTAATAACAAAGCATCGAAGTTTGTGCTAGCAAGATATAAATAAGAGGTCAAGATGGAAGTAGTTCGCGATAACAATTTGGCGCCGCAGGCGGCATTACCTTAACGAGTTCCAAGTTAAAAAAAAAGAAGAAGAAGGTAGAAAAGGAGAAAGACGGTAACGGGACGAAGAAGTAATTACAGACGGAGCGGAAGGCTTAACGTCGATCCATTTGTGACCGTTCTCATTAGCGGTTTAATTTCCTGAATCTACCGAGGATGACTTTTCGGTGAAATTTTCGAAATTTCTCGATGCCAGCCGGCTATAAGTGGCTTCGTATCTTTCTAGCCGGTCGAACAAATTACGAAGGAGGATGAATCCCTTCGGAATTGGCCCGTGGCCGAGAGCGGACCGAGAAAGATATCTTGGCCGCGAAGATGAGATCGCGGTATCGTCGCGAATTAAAGTTTCGCGTCGTTGCTAACGGTTGTTCCACTTTCAAACGTAAGTATAATTTCTGTTATCTCCGCGGTACCCACGGGCCGTGCAGCCACGAAATATAAAATAATAAAGGCCAGACCGACCAAAGCGACCAAGAACTTTGGCTATTACAATGAAACAGTTCCGCGCAAACGCGTCTTCAACTTTTAACGGCTCGCTCTCGTTCCTTCGTGTCTCCGGCCATTCTGCTGCTCATTTCCCTCCTCTATCGCGAATTTATTTCCCCGACGGCGATAGCATTCAATTGTATTCGGAAAGCGAATCGGCCAAAAAGGAAAATATAAGATAAAATAAGAAACGATCGGTCTGCAAAGATATCCAGATACTCTTTTAACTTTCTTCCCTTTATACCGCCTCTCTCTCCCTTATTCATATATCTTCTCTTTTTTTCTTTCGTTGTATATTACTAAGTGCTTAGTCGCATAATTACATTCACCCTCTTGCCTCGTGAGCACCATATTTATTTCAGTTTACCGTCGCCTTCTCGCCATTAGGGTACTAATCCACTTAATTTCTTCCCAGGCCTGGCCGACGATGGTGTTCTGTTTCTTTTTGTATTTCGATGCTCGCGCGTGCAGGTACATTGCAATTAACTCGTCGAATAAAGCCACGACAATCCCGCTGCTCCTCGCGAAATAAACGTTGCAAAGCGACGCGTTTAAAGAACAAAAACCCAGCGTGGTTTTCGGACACTTGCATTTTTAAACCCCTTTTAACCCTCCTTTCGACCGGGATTTAAACCGATTAATTTCGTGATATTTGCAAAGATAAATATCACCTCTTCCACACTTCTGTACGTTCTAATTTTTACGTATCGTAATTTACATTCATTACAACTTTCACGTGTTACAATCTTTATACTTCGTAATTTCTACGTGCAAGAATCTCTGTACTTTGTAATTGTTCGTTGTAATTACTGTGGCTTGTAACTTTCACGGATTGTTATCTGCCCACGCTGTAGTAACACGCGTTACAATTTTTCCACATACCGTAATCTCTATGTATCACAATTCCTATGCCTTATAATTTCCACGAGTCATAATTTGCATGCGTTATATCACATTAACTTATATTTCCCGTCTGCGTGATAAAATAAATTTCCCGTAATATTAACCGAAAGTCACGATGGTAGAAACGTGACCAATCGATGAGCAAAAAAAGGGAATCACAGACATCGCGGGCTGAGCGGAGTTGATTAACTTCGGTCGGGCAAGTTGAAAAAACCTTCGATACAATCTTTATCGTGTACGGTAAAGAACTACTACCGCCGGTAATTAATTATACAGAAGAGGAAGTTCGCGGAAGTTTTCTCATTTTTTCCATGGAAGAAGGACCTCTCTCTCTCTTACTCGCTCGCTCGATGAACCTGAAGCACGATCATTACTTTTAATAGAGCGCCCAGCGAGCGAACAACAACTAAATCTCGATGAGAACGGATCGCGATACCCTGGCCGGCATTGAAACTAATTTTCCCGCGCAACTACCCGGAAGTTAATTTCGTTTCTATCGAGTAACGAAGAAGCAAAGTTACGGGACAAGTATCCACGCCCTAAATTTCGCGTCTACGAATTATTTTGATCGCTGTGTAACAATGCTCAATTTTGAAATGACGTCATTTTAAATGGCGGACACGGTGTAGCGATTTGTAAGCTTGTAGCTCAGAGCAGATTACAACAACCGTTTTAACATTCTTTCGACGCTCTTAGTACAATATAGTTAATTTCTCTCTGTATAGGTACATCGTATTACACTTTGTATATTTCGAAAGCAATTATTGTTTGCAGCTAGAAATTTTATATTAACACATTGACTGCTACACGAAAGCAATTTTCAATTACATCCAATAGTGCTTAAATTTTTATTAAATTTTTATAAAAATATTTTCACAATATATTACATTTATTTTCCATAGATCCATGTAATTAATGCAAGAATTTTCGATTAGGAAAGTGAATAAATTTTGAACAATATACATCAGTATAGAAACTTAAGTGTAGCAGTCAACATATCAACGATAATAAAATAATGTGTTCTATTGAATTTCAAGCATCCACTTATTACACCGCAGTTATTACATGATCGAATAAGACCAGCTACAGGAGTCATCAACGTGCTATCAGCGGACAGCGAGCAAAACCACGTCAAAGTACCGTTATCTCTTTAATATCTCATTTTCTCCGTTTCCTTCGCCGCAGACGTTAATTACGAAATAATGCATACAAAGCTGTGTACGAAGCGTGAAAATCATAAGAGTGGGAGCCGCCTGTGGGAAACGAGGGACAGGATATGGCCCATTGGCCGTGTGGCAAGACGGGAAAGTGAAGAAGAGGGAGAGCAATAATACGAGGATCCTTGGAAAACGGCCAAAGTGTCAGTCGTAATATTATGGTCGTTACGTGGAACGTCCCAGACGTACATCGTACGAATCAACATTTTATTCTGTGACACTGTGCGAGTGTACGCACACCTTCTCCCGATACAAAGGCAACTGGCTAGCTTTCACTTTCCTCGATGAAATCGTGAACGATCCAGCGAATCCTCTTCGACGGTGCTCGCCCACGCCTTCTGTTATCCGCCGTGCAAAGTGGATATGAAGAGTACCGTGTCACCGGAGCATAATTTGTAACTGCCTTCACCCTGAAAATTTCGTTCTTTGTTAATCATTCATCAACCATTTTATTCAACGTCATTTTTATATTCACAGATATTGACATATCACACATCTCTTAATAGAGAACTTCAAATTTTGCAACTTTCCTTAGGATCTTAATAATTAAGAATTTTGAGAGCGCATGAAAGTATTGTGAGTTATGAAAAATTTGGAAGTAGGACTCGACCTTTCGTTAGGTAGAATTAACTCTAAGAACAACTTGTTATTAAAAACTCATTCATTCTTACTCTAAAAAGTCTCACCGTGTTTTCTTTAATCGACAATTTCAAATTTTGCAACTTTCCTTAGGATCTTAATAATTAAGAATTTTGAGAGCGCATGAAAGTATTGTGAGTTATGAAAAGTTTGAAAGTAGGACTTGACCTTTCGTTAGGTAGAATTAATTCCAAGAACAACTTGTTATTAAAAACTCATTCATTCTTACTCTAAAAAGTCTCACCGTGTTTTCTTTAATCGAGAATTTCAAATTTTGCAACTTTCCTTAGGATCTTAATAATTGAGAATTTTGAAAGCGTATGAAAGTATTGTGAGTTATGAAAAATTTGGAAGTAGGACTTGACCTTTCGTTAGGTAGAATTAATTCCAAGAACAACTTGTTATTAAAAACTCTCACTCTAAAAAGTCTTGACCAGTATTTTCTTTAATCCGTTTCTGGTATGAAAAGTTGAAGATCCGAGTTCCGACGAAAATGTTGGTTATAAATTGCAAAGGGACAGTGGCTAGATAAGGACAAAGTGGTTGGTAGAAGAGATGAAAGGACAAGAAGTCGCGACGGTCGAAGCATGCTAGAGAAGCTTCGGGAAACGTTGGTATTATCATAATAATGGCTGAAACCATCATCTTTTCCGCGTCTGCTCTCTTGCTCCCCCGACCTTACTCGAGGCTCCATTCTCCTCGAGAGTGCTTCAGAAAGCCAAGCCTAATAGCGCTCGCGTTTTGTACATTTACAAATTTAAAATGATAATTTTCTCGTGGGTGTGGCGAGCCTTCAGCCCATTTACGCCCTTTTATCGTCGCGGTCGTGGCTCGTTCCCTTATTTTCCACCCCTGCTTTTGCCAAATATATCATGCGTCGGTTATGCGACTCGTAAAAAGGAATTGCAACCAGATATTTCGAACGCGGAATTTTTGCGAGGGTAATCGCGTTGAAAGGATCGAGTAATTGCGAATGTACGATTTACGTTTGAGGAATGTAGAATAATTGATTAGATTTTAGCTTACCAACAATTCCCAGTCAGTATCGTTCACGAGGACCAAAATTCCTGGCCGCCTGCACATACAAAGTGTCACGTAGTTGGAAGATACGGTGAATACATGTAGGACAGGCTATTTTTGTGTCACGCGATTTGTGGGACTCTAGAGCCCCCTTATCATTTCTGTGTTACGTATTACCGTATCGATTGGGACCGATATCGCGGCACGCCGCTATTCGAGCTAGAAATTAAGATCGAAGATACTGATAGCCGTTTGTTATTAAACAATGTAAAAGCAGATAACAGAAATTAATTTCGAATGCATTTTTTACTGCAATCTCTGCTTGGAGAGCATTTAAATCGGCACGAAAAGGTCACTTTATTTATAATTTAACAAGTAGAAAATACAAAAATATCCTTTACATAAAATTAAAAGTAGGCTACTACTTTATGGCTCAAAAATTATTTTTTGTCTCTTTTTTATTTTGAGTGCGCCTTTTGAAAATGGTACCGCTAGTATCATCTACCGGCCGAACACATAACTGTCGGAAGAAAAAATTATTTCTGCAATGCATAAGATATTCTTATATTTTGGCGATGCTTGAAAATTCTTTTATAGTAACGACAGTGCTGAAAAATGATTTTGTGATAAGCTTTATAAGTAAAAATTTAAAAAAATTGGCGAAATTTCAAAATCAATATTTTTTTCGACACTGTGGCGCCATCTCTCCGGCGAACGGGGTGAACTACGCACTTTTGAAACTGTAGCTTCATTAGTTCCCACTTCTGCCGCTAGGTGGCAGAACATTAAAGCGGGAAATTCAAACTACGAATTGTAGCGCCATCTCTCCGGCGAACGGGGTGAACTACACACTTTTGAAACTGTAGCTTCATTAGTATTCAAACTACGAATTGTAGCGCCATCTCTCCGGCGAACGGGGTGAACTACACACTTTTGAAACTGTAGCTTCATTAGTTCCCACTTCTGCCGCTAGGTGGCAGAACATTAAAGCGGGAATTTCAAACTACGAATTGTTTAAAATTGATCATGATTTGGTAAAGCTAAAACATTCCAAAGTTGATGAGCCTTGTATTCGGATGTAATTTTATGCACATTGAAGTTAATTACAACAATAAAATCAGTATTAATTGAATTTTTAAACAATGGAACACGTAGCGCCATCTCTCCGGCGAACGGGATGAACTACACACTTTTGAAACTGTAGCTTCATTAGTTACTATATTCAACCGCTAGATGGCGGCCTAGTCATCTAGCGGCAGATCACATAACTAATGCAACTAAGTTTGAAATGTTTGTGGTGTATGAAATATACTTTAGTATATAAAACTTTGAACTACTGTATAAAAATTTTTTTACAATTGACATCACTGTGGAATGTCAACTGTATGATTGTTAACACTGTAGACAGCTTTAAACTCATTAAAGTTATACATATTAAACTGATTCACAAAGTATAGTCGTGATATTGAAATGGTAAGAGACCTCTAGAATTTATTTTACGTTTCGTCTGTTGAACTATTATACTTTCAGACGTATATACTTTTCGTATAATATTCTAATAAAGATTTTCTGCAGGCTTTATAATCCACCCTTCAAATTTTGTTAAATAGTACTGTAGCACCATCTCGATTACCGCCACGGAACTATCGAGACGCCATCTTAATTTTGTATATCGGTCGAATTGGAAAATGCGAATTAATATAACATATCGTTACCGTGGTGGGACACGAGTGTATTGTAAACTTCGCGGACACCAAACAAAATACTTATTGTGCAATTTACCACAATTGAAATGTTTACGATGCCGAGGTAAAATAGTAGGATGAATTGACGACTTACACGGTATCTCCCTGTAAAAACAGTTCCGGTCGTTCTTTTAAAAGGTTATCCTTTATCCAGAATAGCAACTTTTGTATAGTCCCTGTAAGATTTCACGTGGCCAATTATATTTGCGATTTGAGAACAATTCGAAAAACTTACATTCATCTCCAGGTAAGTTAACCTCGTGTTTTTTCTTTTTATCGAAAAGTAATTCCGCCCCACCCCTGAAATAATTTATTGGATCAGTTATGAGACCTATTCTATTATGACTACAGGAGAAGTTAGGTTATGTATAGTTTTAATTGTTACCCGAATTCAATGGTCACAGGAAGTACACTATTTTTATTAGACATGTTTAAAGATTCTGTTTAAATGTATTACTTGTATTTTCATTAGCTATTATCATTTAACCCCGCGCATAGAAACAACGTGAGTGACAATTCGTTTCAATTCCGTGTTCCTTGTGTTCGAACGATCAGTAGCGTACACACTGTACGCGGCAAAAGCCGGCTTCGATGTTTGGATTTGGTTTAAAAAAAAAATATTTTGTTCCTTATCTAGATACTTTTTTTCTGTCTTTAATTCATTTTGTACAAATTTACATTGCAAACAAGCGCAATAATTTATGATCTTAAACATCTATGGATTAAAAAATGCAGGAATGTTTATAATCTTTTCTAAGAAAAAAAACAGTAATGTCAAACTTGTTGATATTAGCATAGGAATTAATAAATCTATGATAAAATAACTAGATAAATATAATAAAATTTAGAACTAGTGCCCCTTGTTATATACAACACGAATTACATCCCTGTATGTTCGCGGGTCATTAGTCTCGCAATAATTATGTATTTAATTGCGACGCAGAGGTTTCTTAGTAAAGGAACAACAGCAAGAAATAAAGAATTAAGATTTATTGACTAAAAGTAGTGAAAAATCATATGCATTTAAAAAAATATATAATGAAAACATAGATTCGATAGAATTAGACGTAAAATATGTGAACGAGTTGAAGTGTAGATGCCTTCAGCGGCAGCTGTAATGGCGGTTGTCGGGAAAGTACGGACGCACGCGTTAAATGTTTCAAGAACAAAATAGCCAACATTCTGTTTAAGCCCGAATAATTCTGGTCTTCTGGCAATCACAAGATTTTCTATAATCGTAATATTTTACATGTTTAGTGATTACTTTCATAATGTCAGAAGAAAACAAACATACTTCGGAAGAGACCGAATCAGACATGAATACGGAAGATCACAGCAAGGAACAATCGAAAAGTGATACAAGTATGTTAAACAATGAAACTGAACAGCCTATGTTAGAAGACGAAGAAATGCCGACGTATGTTAGCGTATCAAGTCCATCGAGACGCGACGATTCAGATGTTAATAACACAAAACAAAATAAAATACCTGTAGAAGAGGATCACAGTCGAAGTCCTTGCCCTAGCGACGATCAAGGAGGTGGTAGTATTTATGTACTATCCTCTGGAGAAGAAAGTAATCACCCCTATAATGATGAAGATGAAGATGATTATGGAGACAGTGACGGTAAGTGTGCGATATAAAGATATTATTTTATACCTGAACCAGTATACGGAAACTGAAAATTGCATTATGTAGTATTTTTTATGCAGTACTTGTAGACACAAGTAACTTTTTTCTTTCTGTTTACAATGAATAATTATAAGCTGTCGATGTGTTAACACTGACAGAGTATTTAATATATTATTGTTACCATAAACTATAGACATGGATGAAATGGACCTTGAAAATGAACACGAAAATGCGATGTTAGATGATGAAGAAGAGGAAGATGACGAAGATGATGATGATAGAAATCCTCTCAGATTACCCAATGAAGATGATGAGGATATAGAAACAGAATATGATCAAGAATATTTTGATAGGGTGTCCGATGATTTTATTTTAAATAATAGATTAAAACAACATCATAAAGAAAGAAGTTTGTCGTTGCAAGATCTGAGTATTTGTAAAAACAATATCCATTCACCATATAGTAAGAAAAGGCATAGTCTAAATATTGTTAGACCAAATTATCTTAAATATCAACATGTGGAAAGTAAAGTGAAGCAATATATAAGAGATATAAAGAAACAGAATAGAAAGTCTATGGAAAAACGTATTAAAGAACAAGAATTTATAATAAATAAAAATTATGATGAGGATGAAAGTAAGATATATTTTTTGTCTGTTAGAATTTGGATACTCTGGCTTGGAAGATATGTCTATTGTCTATTGTAAATAGCTGTAGGTCATAGTACTTTTAGTAATCTTACAAAGACAATAAAACATGCTTCCATGTACTTGAATAATCAAGTTTTTAAGTTATAAGCAACTAACAAATATAAATTGTAATTTATTCTTCTTATTTTTAGACATTGACAGTGAACAAGTAAGAGCAACAGTTACTAACAAAATCATAAAAGATTATGCACAGAAGGCTATTAAAGACTTGCAACATGAAGAAAATGAAGGTACTAATTTAGTTTATAATATAGCACAAATAGTAAAAAATGGTGAAAACAATAAAACTGACAAGGTAATTGAAAATCAATTTAAACATGTTCGAAAGGATTCTGAATATACTAATACCCAGAATGAAAAACGTGCACAAAACAGTGATGATCGGTTAGAAAAACGAAATGGTTCTGTAGACATTAACGTACATCAAATTGAATATCAAAATACCCTAGATAGAAATACTAAGTTTAGTAACATAAATCAATCTTCTCTAGTTAATGGTCATGAACAAACCCCTGCATTTATCAATCTACGTACAGTAACTTATGAGGAATATATGCATGGTACACCAAATACTGTACAGAAGGAAGAATTAAATGAGCAAAAACAGAAAAACGTGAGTGAAGTATATAATGAAGCAGAAATGATCACTGAACAAGAAATCGATAATAGCGATACAAGTTGTTCTTTAAAAATCGAAAATGTGAAGAGTATTAGAATGAGTCATGAGGAATCGAGTAATTTGAATTTTGCAAAAATAAATGCAAATGAAAAAATGGTTGCAGAAAACAAAGAAATTATTCAACTCAAAACTCAACTGAATCAAAAAGATGCACAGTTTCATAATTTGAAGGATGCCTATCAGAAAACCCTGGCAGAGAATATAAAGATGAAACAAGAATTAGATGAGCTGAAAAAATCCTTAGCAAAATATGAAAATGAAAACAAAACGTGTGAAACAAAAGTAGCATCTGTGCAGACTGAGAACGTTGAAAAGTCTGTAGACAATCAAGAAACTGTAGCCAAAGCAGAAACAGTTAAAAAAGTATCCACCAGCAGTGTCGCGTCGACAGCAAGTTCTTCCGATCAATGGGCGGAAAGCGCTTACAGTCCAGCTGTATCCATCAAACCACCAGATATAACATCAATCCTCAATTCTGATGACAGTATAGTACTTACCAATGGTACTCCAAGAAAACTAGCACATCCATTGTCTCGAACATTCATCACTTCGTCCCGAATTTTACAGACTCTTTCTAACATAACACAAAGCAAAACAAAAGTGGAAAGTCCTTTGGTACGAAATACCAAGAAACGGTCAAATGAAAATTCAACGGATCAGTTGTTGAATTTACATTACAGTTCTCCAATTCATACGTCAAGTTCCAAAAAACGAAAGGCAACAGAAATGCTCGGTAGTGCCGCTTTTACTCAACCTTTCAAAATTCCTCACACAACTGTAGAACCAGACAGAAAAAATAGTACTGACGCTACCACTGTAGAATTTAAGTACGTCGAGGAACATCCAAAGTCTAAATCAGAACAGGAGCAGAGTGCATCTGTTAATAAAAATGGCAATGCCTCTACGTCTGCAGAAGTTAAAACGGAAGAAACAATTGATCAGAACGGTGTAAAGTGTTTCATATACGCAGAGGATGAAAATACTAAGAATAGAAGTTTCTTAATTCAAGCAGAAGAACCGACAAAAGATGGAATAAATGACAAGAATCGGGTGCAAGAATGTGGTCCATATTTATTAGGTAATCTTGAAGTAAGAATGTCTGAAATAAATGGTACAATTAGCGTTTGGGGTAAAGAAGTGAATCGGGAACCTGCGAACGATAACGAGGATGATGCGGAAGTATCTGCCACAATGTCTGAGAAGAAATCGTATGATTGTTGGCATAATACACCTCAAATGAGATTTAACGAGAGCCCGCTGGTTTGTTCAACCAGCAGAAAACTGAAAATTCCATGTAGGTTCAATAAATCTAACAGTTCTCAATATCGTCGGTCTTTGCCCGTGAACGCGATGAGAACGTCTTCCTTAGGAGACGATTTAAGCGATAAGTTACGTATGGATCATTCTTTTAGTCTAAACAATTGTGTTCCTTTTTGTGAAAACTGTGATTCTCCGAAATATCCTGACGAATGGCCAATTTATAAAGGTGCTTCGAGTTCACAAGAAAAAGTACATTCCTGTTGTATACACGGTACAGAATTTGTTGACGAAGAACGTCATTGTGATGTGCATCACGAGAAACAGAAATACGATGTTAGTCCTAAACATAGTAAAACTAAGTTTTATAGTAAGGGAATTCGAAGGAATTCATACAAAAATACTTTTATACCAGATACAAAAAATCACTTACACGAAAACAGTACGAACATCGAGACAAACGAAACAACTTGCAAATGCCACGCTCGTCGTTCATTTCAGAATGTAGTCGATAATGCTGCGCATTCGAAATACTGTAATCATGTTAGAAACATCTCTTATACGTGTAAATCGTCTTTGGATAACGCAAGTAACCATGAGACTTCCGAGAAACATACTTGTTCTCATAGTATTTCAAACGAGGATGAAGAAGACCCTCTTATACCGTTCAAGCGATCTAATGAAACGCCTGAGGTAAAATAATACAATCTTTTATGAATTTCAGTTTTTATTTGTCTTTGGTACCTATCTTCTTTTTCTTATATTTAGACCAGACAACGAAGATTAAGTGGTAAAAAGGTGCGAGGTATCCTTATGGATCTCTTGAGAGGATGTGGAGATTGTCGTAGTAACAGTGCTGCCAATTTAAGTAAAAACGAACAACACTCGAAACAAGCACATACTTCACATGTTCCACCACAAATTAAGATTTCATCTCCTAGCCACGAACCTACATCTTCAGGTTCTACACAGTGTAATGAAAGGTAACATGGTTTTAGTATTGTTAGAATAATAGAGCGTTATGAAAGGAACTATAAAATATACTGTCAGTTTATGTTAACTTGCAGATGTTGTCATGCATACGCGCAACGAATCGAATCTCAACTTGAAGAGTTCCGAATGGAAATGGAAAGAGTACGATCACGTTCCGATGCAATCCTCGATATGCTCAATATGCTTCACTCTGTGGATATGAACTAATGAAATTTACCCAATTTTAAATAAGTGCTTTTCCTTGTACAGATCACTTTCTTAATTTTTTTTAAGTCGGAATTCACTGTCGACGATTTTCCTTATTTACCTCTCGAACTTCATCGCATATAGGAAACGCCTGTTCAATTTATTAAAGTGACATACACTCGAAACGAAAGAAAAAATCACCACGTTGTATCAGATACACATTTGTATTATAGAAGTTCGATTTCGTGTCGTTGATAAATGTGATATAAAATGAAAAACAAATTTGGTATGATTTTTATATCGTACGAACATTTAATACTTTTCTTCTTATAATTTAACTAGAGAATTTTTGTTACATTCTAGACCAACAATGTTTGAACATGTAATTTAAGTAACCGAGTGAGACGACGATCATCGCCTCATCAAACTTTTATTTCGATATCAATAAAATACTGAGTAATTTCTTATTTAATAGTTGCAGTCGCAGGAATCGAATCCTGTACCAGCCTCTCCAGGTAAAACTCCAGGTGGCATCTCTCCTTGTCCTTTAAAGATGTTGCTATAAGATGTCTTCAAATAATTTACGTGTCCCTGCAGTGATCTTATACGACCCTGAGCTTGCTCGAACGCCTCATTGAGGTTGTTTATTTGACCTTGCATTTTTTGACGAATCTATAAACGATGATAGGTAAGCCGACGTTAAAATATTTCCATTAATTTAATGATAAGTTACTTCGTCTCTATCTTTTTGCGCAGCTCTTGCAGTGGCTCGACATTGAGCCAATTGTCTTTCCATTTCCGCAATTTGACTTTGCATTGTTCTTCTAGCGGTCTCGCATCTTTCTTTCGTTCTTGCTACTTGCCTTGCAGAATCTTCTCGAACCTTTTAAATAATATTAATTAAAATCATCATTTTACAGTTTAACAAATTTATATTGCAATAACATACCTGATCAAGCATTGCCGTCAATTGAGTAACCTCGTGCATCTTTTCATCGATACGCTTCTGCAGTTGCGCCTCATGTTCCTCGAATCTAGCAAGCGTATTCTTCATACGTTCATTTTCATGCCGCAATTCAGTATTTTTCCGCTCTAGTTCATCGAATCGTCCCGAACCATGACCCCTTTCATCCTGTAAAGTGGTTTGTCATATAATGCCTGTCGCACAGTTTATTTGATAAACATAAATGGATAAGAACCTGAAGCTGTTGATACTCGCTACGTAACACTTCCAATTGATTTTGTAAAGCCTGCATCTTCTCTTTGGAACCTAAAAGCTCTCGCGACAGATCCTCGCAATTTCGTTCTGCGACTATACGCATTTGCTGTGCTTCTTGCAATTTCACCTGCGTTTGCTTCAGGATGTCAGGTAACGGTGCGAGTTCTGCAAGTTTCTCTTGGAACTGATTCTGTACAAAAGATTGTAAAATTTTGAAGACCCTGCATGTAAATCATTGGTGTAATAAGGATTTCTGAGTTGTATATCGGAATTTGGAAGATCAGGAATTTAATAAACGCATGAGTACATATTTTTCTACCTACTTTAACTCTACCAATCTCCAGAGTCACATTTTCATTCATTCGTGCATTATCCATCTCCATGAGATCAAGTTGCCGACGTTGTTCTTCCACTTGTTGTTGTGCCTATTTTTCGCCGATATTATTACAACATTTATATCGAGAGTTAAAAAAAAGTATGCCCTGTTAATTAGAACCTGCAGATATTTGTTACGATAATCCTCCAACTGAGCAGCTTGATCTTGAATCAAAGATCTCAGTTCCTCAAGCTCATCTTGGGCCTCTCGAAAACGTTGTTTGAAAACAATAAGAGCTTGCTCTTGTTCAACCATTTGCTCCTTGAAGCCTGTCGTTGAACGAATTATTTCATGTATTTGTGCTTAGCAGAGTTCGGAATAATCACCTTCGTATTTCTCTTTTTCAGCTTCTAGCGTTTTCAAACGTTCTTGAGCGTCTGTCAATCTTATATCCAATTTGTCTTTCTCTTCAATAGCATCTCGTGTTTGTTGCTTGAGTTTTTCAGCATCTGTTCTTAAACACGAAACCTCGCATAATTTGTTTTTGTAATCATCCTGTAGACGTGCGTATTGCTCGCGTAGATCACGTAATTGTTGCTGAGGACATGTGCTAGCTCCCTTTCATTAAACAATTCGTTTAGTCCATGTTAAACTTATTTGTTAAGTTAAGTCTTACCATAGGAGCATTTACACAGGGGCCAGTACAAGTTGAAGTAGGAGCTGGTGGCATCTGTATACCATGGAAAATAGATCATTTTGTAATTAAAGAAAAGATCATCCTGCTAAATCTGATTACCAACTGCATGCAGTATGATCTCAAAAAAAACAAAATATTTGCACTTTTTATAAAAACATTTATTTCATACAGAATTCGTGATAATAATCACTGTAACAACAATCACTATCGGCGCAAATTTTTAAGAGTGTGCTGATATTTATGATAAGCGACATATTCATGAAACAACCCCTTGTTTACACAACCAATCTGATCGTAATACTGTTTGGATACCTTGGGAAGAGGTACTGAGGATGGTGGTGGTAGAACCGGTAATGTTGGAGGTGGTACATAAGGCGGCGGGCTAGAACCTTGAAGATTCATAGGCGCAGGAGGACAACAACCACAAGGTGCACAAGGACCAGTGCATTTCAACAGCTTTCGTTGTTGTTCCAGCTGTTGACGTTCTCGTTGTACGTTAGCAAGTTCTATCTGCATGTTACGTACTTCGCATTCCATACTGCCCAGTTGTTGTTCCTGAAAGGGTAACAAGTGTGTGAATAAAAAAATTGCACTCGTAGTTTAATCGAATCGCGAATACGTACTAGCTGCTTGGTATTGTTCCCATAAGCTGCAAGCTTGTTCTCTATTTCAGCGGGACAAGCCCCTTTCGGAGGTGGTGGCACGCATGGCGTTTTAACGACGGCTGGACTTCGGCAACACATTTCGTCGACTTGTGAAGATGCACCACTTGTAATGCAAGCACCTGTTACTGACGCTCCACCCGCAAGCCTGGGTGATTCTGAAACAATTAATGTCAATCATTAATTTGTTTTATTGTGTTGTGATAAACGTGACCACTTCTAGTGACACCAGAAAGCATTACTCACTAAAAAGTATCAACTAGATGTCATTCCTGAATATTGAACATACATTGGAAAAGTGGTTATTAATCTACCGAGACATACCACATACGGTCTGGGCGACTGGCGACAAGGATTCAGCAGACTGAAGACAACACTTGCATCGACAGTAATCGTCGTCCTGCTGTAATGTAGTGGTGCGTGAAACCGAACGTAAAGGACACGGACTTGATACTCCAGAGGAAATTGCACCTGGACAGGTGTAACAACAAGGACTAGTGACTCGTTGATTCAAGCAAGCTATCTGACGCGTCAATTCCACATTTTCCTTCACTACTATTCTCATTTCAGCCTGCAGACCGCATACCTTCCTCTGTAGGCTTTCAACTGCAGAATCCTTTTCTAGTAATGCTTCTTCTAATTTATACCTAGTGTGAGACAGAATATCACATGACTTATGACAACATATTTTTCCCGATGACAAAATCCGTACTAACGTTGTTAGGGAGACTTTCACCGATGTTCATATTTTTTGTTCGAGTTTGTATTATTTGTTCGTATCGAGAAACGATACTGGGTGCTCTAGATCTTATAAAGAGTATTAAATACTTACTTGCCACCTTCGAGCTGCGCGTTTTCTTGTGCCAATTTCTCTTGCATAGTTAACGACTCTGTTAGCTTCCCAGTCAGAGTTTTAAGACTTTCAGTTCCTTTCTTTTTACTATCTGCTACAACAATTTTTGGAATTTCGTCTTCCGTGGTCCCGCAAACGATTACTCTTGGAAGTCTAGCCGGACGAAGACACATTTATAAAACTATATCGCCAGCAGCGAAATCAAAACGTACTTGTCTTCAGGATACTCTATTTGTGGCAAGTCGAATCGATCTTCTGGTTTGGTTACTTTTATCGCAGATACTTCTTTATCTATTTTATCTCTGATCTTATCCTGTGTCAAAATTTCCTCTTCTTCTTCTGTGATCGCCTAGAAATCAATGACTAAATCATTCACTGGGTACAATTTATTCTTGATACCGCATGTATCCAATGGAAATATAGAATATGTACCAAGCTGAGTTTCGAAGTAGGATGCGGTATCATGTCGAACATTTTCGCGAAGGTGGTACTCGAGTAATCAGCCAAGCCTAGTAACCGTTGCAGCTTCCGAGTTATTTCTTCAAATTCAGCCAACTTCCTCATAACTTCATCTTGCTTCGATTGAATTGCTAACGTATCCTCCTCGGTTAAATCTTTTTTCTATAATACATATCACTAATATGAAGGCAGACCTTTGGAAACAATGTGTCTCGAAAGGGTTGGTTTCTCCTAAAACCATTACTTTAGAAAGTTCAGCTATTTCTCGTTTAAGTTGCTCAATTTCCTTTGCGAGTACTGCACAACGTTCATCAGCATTCTTCATTTCCATTTTCACGGCGCTGTCAGTTAACGGCGATGAACTTAAGATGGATTCATTTCTACCACCAGGCTTTACTGGTACACCTAATTCAAAAATTGCACATTCATGAAATCAAAGTTATTTTGGGGACAAATCAATTGTTAGTTATACCACTGATCAAACCTTGTCAGTCTATTACAATTATACCTTCACCAACACCAGGAGGAAGTGGATGAAGTGGAGGCACCTCATCATCCTCTTCCTGTTGCCCAAATGGTGCAACTTCCGACATCTCTTTAAGCGTAGCTTCGAGTCCTTTATCTTCAACTCCGGATTCTGTAACTTCAACTTCTTCACTCGTTATTACAACTTCTTCACCCATCTCTACTAATTCAGCATCTTCAAAATTTTCGCTCAATAATTCTTGCATTTCCTCCGTCTCGTCAGCCATGCTTCAAAATTAGATCAATTTATTAGAATAATAATAACGTATTTGAAGATTCAGTACGACATACTTTGATGATTCTTTTGTTTCAGAATATGGACTCTCAATTTCCTGTGAATTCAACGTTTCTAAATTTGATGTCTGCGCTTTCCTTTTATAATCCTCTGCCTCATGTGCCTGTTAAATAATAAATATCGTACAATTATAATGTACAGTTCAAATGATAATGGATTTTACACTGAGAATTGTTGCGCAATTTAAATTCCAACGTACTCGCTCAAGGATGTGTGGTTCGAGCTCTGTTCGTTGCGAAAGTACCGATTTTATAAAACGTTTAGAATCTTTGAGATTTGTTGACTCGTACAAAGGCGTATATCCCTGCTGATGATACTCGACAGCAAGGGAATGTATTTCCGGTAAAGTCAAAGGTTTCTTGAGATCGAATAAAGACTCCAATGAACCAAATGCATCTCTCTTCAAAGAAGATTCCTCGAACTCGGTGTTTTTTTTCTGCGACTTTGAACCGTACTTTTGCAGATGTTTCAACTCGTGGAAGCTTTTTGTTTCGATAGGAAGACCGTCAAATTCGCGAACACGAAAAGACCTTGGTGAACTTTTTGCCGAGCGAGATAAGTTCCACGTACACGGTCGCCGCTTCTATAATCAGATAAATTGTTTATTTAAAGCGTAAGATATTTATTTTGTTACGGTGATGAAACTGTTATAAAAAGTAAAATTAGAAGCAAAGGTGATGTAAACATTTATGGAAACTGATTGCAAACTTTTACAGATACGAATTTTTAGGTGGATCCGCATTATAATACAAAATGCATACCAATGTATAAATAAAGAAATAAAATTAGTTAACGTTTTACCTTCATTATTTTACCTTCGACACAACACCGTTCTTTCAATAACATAAACTCCTTAAAGTTCAAGGACGATGGCTTCTTTTCCTCGAATGTTCACTGAAGAAACGGTATCGTTATCAAATAGCGTTGGACGATTTCTCAATTATTGTTTTCGAAATTTTTTTTTGGATGGTTTTTGTAAAATTGGAAACTGCAACAAATAATACGTTAATATATTGAATAAATGATTAAAACTTATGGTCTTATAATGAGAAAATAAAATAATTTAATGTATAGGATTTGACACTTACCCAAAAAAACCTTCAATTTCTTGAAATAAGAGTGTGAAATTGCGTCTTTTATTTTTCTGTCGAACGATGGATTTGAACATATCAACATATACCTAAGATGCATATCAATAATTTGATAAACATTATAAAAAATTGTATCACTTTTTTATTATTTTATTGCTACAATTATTAACAATTACTTCGTAAGACATTTTAAAACGTGAACAATTTATTAAACGGCAAAATTTAATTAATAATGTTACAAGAAGCTGTCGCTAATAAATATTACCACAAATTTACTTCTTATTTAACAGAAACGTTTAACTTTTCAATATGATATAAATAAAGGGAGTATGAGAATTAAAATAAAAGTAAATACATACATCTTACAGTTACAATACGTTACACGATTTGTATACTATAAAACTGGTGTGACTTCTTCCACGAAGATCGGCTGAAAAGCATAAAAAATAAATATGTCAACGTACATAACATACAATTGCTAATAGAAATAAATTAGCATTTAAATAATATTATATTATAAATGGTATGTTACCGCACCAATAGAATCATTTCAAATATCTTCTAAAAATATATTTTCGAAAATGAGTAAACAAAAATTCCGTTATATATAAATGTCTCTAATATCATAGCTGAGTTACTGTGTTTATACACAATTAATTATGAATACATTCCCTTGAAGGAAAACCTCTTATACATAATAGTCAATAAAATTTACTTGTAAATAGATAGGTCGTTTCGCATCTTTATAAAATGGAGGTTATGGATATCTGTAAGTGTTTACAAATATAACATATATGTAAATCAAGTGGCACAAAACATTTATAATATAAATGGAATTTATATATTATAATGATGTTTATATATACGAAATTTTATAAACAATTTGTATATTTTTATTTCATAAAGAAATGTAACATTATAAATAATCATTTATGTTAAGAATAATGACAGAAAAGACTGTCTGTTTTCATACAAATTAAATAAACTTGAAGTACAATTTAATATAATTACAATGATTTATTTTAATTTCAATTATATATTGCAGCAGAAGAATCAGTACAAATGGAAGATACAGGCGAAGATCATTCTGAAGAATCAGATACTAATGACAACGTGGACAATAATGTAGACACTGAAATTCAAGCAGATGATGAAAGTAAGTTTATTTTCTTTTCAACATACATAATGTAAATTAAATATCTTATACTATTTAAATATTACATTTTAGAAAAAGATGAACAGGATGAAACAAAAGTAAAAAGACCAAAAGAATCATCCTTGGATGAGTCTCAAACTGATTCTGATCAATCTTGTCCAATATGTATGGATTTATGGACTAGTTCAGGAGAACATCGTTTATGTTGTTTACGTTGTGGACATTTATTTGGATATAATTGCATTTTAAGATGGTTACAAAATTCTTGCACCAGTGTAAATCGTCGTTGCCCTCAGTGTAATAGGAAGGCTGCTGTGAAAGATATCAGAATGTTGTATGCCAAGAAATTAACATCAATAGATACTGCAGAATTAGAAAAATTGAAAGAACAGTTGGACACTGTTAAGACAGAGAAAAATCGTATAGAAATGGAACTGACAAAGTACACCCTCAGACAGAAGTTATTTGAGCAACAAATTACAAGCATGAAAAATCGTATATCTGAACTGGAAAATCAACAATCGGAAATAAGCATTCATTCCTGTCAAAATGTTTCAAAACACATGATTAAAAAGTTCCACTTAGATCGATCAATAGAAATATGTAAAGATGGTGGTTGTCGTGTGTTAGATTATAATCCATCATATGGAGTTCTAGTTGTCTCCCAGAAATCAACAAATGCATTATTCTCGGGTTATGGTATTAAGAAAATTGACACGGATAAATTTCAACCACGACAATTCGTTTTTCTGCATTCTCAAGCCATAAGAGATGTTACATTCAATACCAACCAGCAGTCATTGTTACTTAGCGTTGGTTTTGATAAGTGTGCAAAATTGATGGATATACAAAATCATATCATCATGCACACTTTTCAAGTGGATTATCCATTATGGAGTTGCTGCTGGTCAGGCGACAATCCAAATATATTTTTTGTAGGAGCTCAGAATGGATCTATAACACAATTCGATATTAGACAAACTTCTGGTGCTATTGAAAGTTTAGAGAGTCCAGGCGATAGATCACCGGTGGTTTCTTTAGCAACAGTACCTGTTAATCCCGGTAGCGGTATTGGTCGCGGTGGTTTTATTGCATGTCGTTTAAATACTTGTTACGCTTATGAACAAAAGGAGTCAAAATATGTTCCCAAACAAATATTTCTGGAAGGTCCTTTTGTGTCTGTATGTTACGACGAAAAAAATAATCACACATTAATATCTTCTCGACCGAACGCCAGACAACCTCATGCTAGACATATAGTATGTACTATAGAAAAAGGCAACGATGAATCAACTATCTGTAATGTAGTGCACACGTTTCATGCTGGTAATTCTCAACAATTTTTATCGCGACCATGTTATATAAATGTCGAAAACGATACGTTAGTTGCTGCTCATCAAGAATCCACCAGTAGTATATCCTTGTGGAGTACATCTAGTGGAAAACAAGTAAATAGCCTCCCGGTATCTGATCCTGTGGTAGATATGTGTGCAGTCGATATTAGTAATAACTTATTTTTAGCAACTCTCTCTACAAAGAAAGTGAGGATTTACAGCCATGGATAATTTTCATTGTTATAGAAATAACATAATGATTTAATAATTTATGACATTTTGTAACATTTCATTCATGTTTAGAACATCTTTTACATGTACATTATAAATTCACAATTTAACAGATAGATGATATAACTGCCATTACTTCATTTTGTTTACTATAAGCTTGAACAGTATTTATTCGCATAAAAGTTACGTGATAAAAACATATGTAAATAACTTAATATAAAAATTTACTATAAATTTAATACCGTTATTGACAATGTAGAAATTTTTCATATGCATAACTATGAAGAAATTTAGAAATAAATCCTAGAATTATCATTATACAATTAAATATACATATTTTTATTACTATGCAATACATGCAATAAATATTTGTTATAACATATATTATATTTTTCTAATAATTTAAGTGTTTCAATGGTTATCCTAAATATTATTCCAAAATAGAATAGTAATAATGAAGGTAAATGTATACTGATAATCATTAAGTGAAACAATTTACGAGATGTAAGACTTATTCAACGTAGAAGTATGAACTAGCAAACCAACCATGTATCATAAAAAGGGAATTTTTATATAAGTAAAAACACGAGTGGATGAAGATACCGTATCACAAATTAATTTCTTTTTCTATGCATTCTATTTCTGCAATTATCAAATTTTATTATAAATTTTCAAATTATGACATCTTTATCTCGAAGTTGACATAATAATAAAAGAACATAAATTTATTAGAAAAATATACTGCTGATTTATAGCTGTTATTACATCGAAATTCAATTTTTGAAAAAATACTACATGACGTCTTTATCCATTTGTGTTTTCAAGTATTTTCAATACTCTTATTGAAAAATGTAATTTATTAATATTTTTGAAATATTAAATTACAGTTAGAATTTCTATGAATGTTGTAACCAATTGCTTTCATAAATTAATCCATATATTCCTAATTTGTAAAATCCGCGAATCTAAATCAATTAAACCAAACAGCATTTATAATCTATTAGTACACCTCTAACACAGCCTCCACATAAATTACTAGAAAATGTAAACAAAAGTTTAAAAAATCCTATTTCAGCACTGTCAAAGAGAAAGTATTACTTAACTGTATTTAAAAAAATCTATATAACACACGTAATGTTACGTACAAGTAATTTTGCTGAATAAGTTTGAAATGTATACTACATGTGCTGCTATTTTATTACTGTTCACTTATAAACTTGCAGTTTATTACAAATATTAACTTCATAAATTTTACTGAACATTTTTAAAACGAAATAACTTTTTCCGAAATTTCATAAGCTGGAAGTGTTAATATTATTCAGATGCATAATATTTTTTGTAAATTTTATAATAGTTACTATTATTAAGGTCCATCGTATATCTACTTGAAAACCAAATCTAGTTTATGTTATTTTTAGAAATATAGTAAATGCAGTTTGGTGTTGTAAATATGGAATGTACATCTCCAGCTTCGAGTACAGAAAATGATGCATGTGGAAAAATATATATATGTATATAATTGACATGGTAAATTATAAATGATTGGAACACACCCCATCACCAAAAATGTACAGAATTTAAATATTAACAGTATAATGTTTATGTTACGACTCTTTTTACAAATACCATTTAACGCTAATATGTTTTTGTCTATTTCAATAATGTACAATCAGATTTAATTAAAGTAAACCTCTTTGTGGCTTAAAGAAATGTACAAAAATAAAAGTATAAACTAGTAATCGTTCTCGTATTGATGTAACAAAGTATACAGCACAATGCTCTATGAAACCAAAAAATTTACTACATACTATTCCATGCGAAAATTGTGTATTCATACAAACTGAAGAAGATAAATCAACCAATTAAGTAAATGTAAAAGGAAAGGCCAATGAAAAATTTAAAAGTATGCAATGATTTATACAAAGAAATTTAATAACTGCTCAACAGATTAAATTATTTTTCTGTAAAAAAAAAAGCTGTAAACTGCTGATCATTTAAATAACATTTTTATGTTTTCAATAAACGTGAAATGAAAAATAATATTCCTTTTATAAAGTTCTTTAAAATGTGATTATCAAGTTAGACTTAACAGATTTTATTAGTTATTGTTTTTCTTCATGCCTATTTTACAAGTTAAATAAATGACTATTATTTTAAGATATTAAATGAATTTTCCATGAATTTGTTTGTCATTGAAATATTGTCGTTACAGGTGCTGAATTTGATTATGAAACTGCTATGGTATCAATAACTGGGCATAGTGTTGCGGAAGTTTCGTAATGACAATATGAACAGTGCTTTTGCATGACAGATTAACTATACAGTTATCACTAACTGAAGAGCTGCTCAGTGGCACGTTCCAAATCCCAATTATATGAAGATAAAGCAACTCTTGCATTGTGTTCTTCAATTCCCATATCTGTTAGTCGCCTTATTTTATCATCTAAATCAGGCATTTTTGCTGGTCCTGTAATTACATTAATGTTTATAGTAAAACAACTATCAATTTTAAAATTAAATCTAAAATTATTAGAACTTATATGTACTTACCACCTGCATATACAAATGTCCAATGTTTGGCAGTTTGACGGAACATTTCTGGATGTTCTTTGTATTGTTTAGCTACAACTGCATCTTGTGGGTCATCTGGTTCTGCAGCAGATAATAAAGCTTGCAATGACAACAATACAGTACGCAAAGTCATAGCTGCAGCCCTGAAAATAAAAATTTCAATTATCCAGTCTGTTTCAAAGAATGAAATTAAAGTGCTTGATCTTATCTGATACAGCTACATACCATTGATCTTTCAATATATCCAAACAAATAGCACCTGTTACTGAAGATATATTAGGGTGCCATATTTTTGTTATGAATCTCACCTATAGAAAAAAAATGTTTACATAATTAGGACTTATAAAATAACTTTTGGAATAATGACAGTATATGAAAATAATTTATAATTTTTTTAATACTAAATTAAAATATACAGATATGCTGCTTTATCTTGTTTTAACTTATATTAATTTTACTTATTTTTTAAATAACATAAAACTGATTCTTTATCATTAACATACATTGATCATATTGACTTACAAAGTGCTTACTTTAGGAGGATTGAAGGGATATGTCTCGGGAACTTTAATCTCGAGTACAAAATTACCTCCCTCATATGGCGTATCGGGTGGACCCGCAATCTCACCTTTTAATTCAGTAAAGCTATCATTTACTAATTCAACTTTAATCGCACATTTTGCAACCTGTAATCAAATTTAAAATTACTGTTGATTAAATAAATTTTTACTATATTTCTTCAGGTTACAGTTAAAATTTTCTTAAGAAATATATCCATACATGTGTGGATATTAGCATAAACAATGTATAAGAAACAAAATTACTCTATGAACAAACGAATGATAAGAAATGTGAAAAATCAATAACATGAAACTGTAATTTTCCACTATTCCATTGCATATGTCAGTACTGTATTAAATTTTATGCTTGTTATTAAAAAAGATTAAACTTGTATCATTCTTTACAATAATATTTTTAGTGGATGCACATACTATATACAATGTACTGTTTCAATGGCATATATTGAATAGTTTTCAGAAACATGTACAAAATATGATGATTGACCCATTTGACATCAATACTTGATAGTAAAATGATGTAACGTCATATACTGATAATTCACACATTGTCAGAACAAAAAGATTGTGATATTCTGACGCAAATGGCTTGTGTATAAACATGTGGAAATATTAAATCAAAACAGATGTTTACATGCATACAGAATGGATCTTCTAGACCAGCGTAAAACTAAAAGATTGTGTCACTGCTCTCAAAAATGGAAAATGCGTGGTACGTACTATTTTTAAAGAACAACTGGTAGAAAATGTACATATAACAGACTAATTATACACTGAACATTAATATAAAAATTGATTTTCTTTGTACAACTCGCATTTTAATTTATCAAAGAATCTGAAGACTGTAGGCAATTTATATATATATCTGTTTTCTTAATTAAAAACAATTAATACAAAATCCTTTTCCATACGATATAAAAGCATTTAATCAATAAAATTCGACAATTTTAAAAGTAGATGACTGTCAAGAATATCATACAACAGGTGCCTATGCTTTGTTCGTAGCGATTTTATCGGCCAATGAATTGCAGCACATTTTTGTCACGCCACACATGAGATTTCTATAGAACGATATCATTAGTCGAATGATGTTGTCCAAAGACTTTAATAGTTCTATTTTGCAAGAAACAAGTAGTACATTTTCAAATCATTTAAAACTATTGTTTACTCACCTCCTCACTCTTTATAACCTCTTTAAATTCGCGTTTGATTCTCTGTGCCGCGATGTTCGCCATAGCTTCCGAATCGGTGGAACGGTCAGCACACTGTCATCGTCATTCGAATAGATTAGTAAAGTTCGCTGAAAGCGTCAACGTACGTAAACGTTTCAGGTAATAATACTCTGATTTACTCTCTCTTTCTACTGAGAAAAACGATCGTTCTAATTCGTGTTCTTTACTAAAATCTTCGCTCACGGACACATCCAATTTATCATTCAATCATCACCGGCGCCACATTGATGAGAAAACTTGACTGTCACCCGCTCGTGTTCACCCTTTTGAATTTCATCTATATTCACGCCGTTCTTCTTAAGGCGCCAACTTGTAAATAGCAAAGATCAATTTTTAATAACTATTTGATTATTTACTTAACTCAAATTTATCCGTCACAACAGCTTAAAAGTACGTAAAATATACGTGAAAATATTTTATATCTGATAAACGAAGGTGAATTTAGTTTACTTCTCATAAAAAAAAGTGTTAAAGGTTATAATTTTTAAGGTGACAAATTCAAATTTCATTACAGAATAATTGTAAATTTATAGTTTCAGTGCGATATGTAAAGAAACAAAAAGTTTAAAATTTTTATTCTTATTGTAATACGTATAATTTGAAGCACTATTACGTTGTACAAAATTAGTAAATCTCTGGAAACGAAAGGTTAAGATTATAATAATTATACAAAAACAGATTAAATAATATTTTGATAGAATTCATAATTTTTAATATCTGACAAAATAAAGTCGTTGATTTTAGTTTATTATTCTCTTAATAAATAAAAAAATGTTTGATAAGAAATGTATTTACGCGGTTAGGTCCAACGTTAAATAGGCGGAGCATAATACAATACGTCATATCCGGTTTTTAGAGCGTTCTCTGATTGGATAGTCTCTTTGTGGTTTCTGTTTAGTGATGCCTGTGTCCCAGCCAGTGCGTGCTAAGAGTTTGTTACGCGCAAACTTGGAAAATTCTCGCGGGCAATTTTTGCAAAGCAGAATGCCAAATATCAAAGTCTTCAGTGGCACATCACATCCAGATTTGGCTCAACGTATCGTCGACAGGCTCGGTATCGACATTGGAAAAGTTGTCACCAAGAAATTTAGCAACCTCGAAACATGGTAATGGTCGCAAATCACCGCTATAACCACGTTATTGTCATTGCATTAAACTTAGGTTCGGACCACGTGTCGCCAGAAATTTCATTTAAGTTTTTTCTTTCTGCCATACATTTCTATAGAGGATAAAGTATTTTTGTCATTTTCGTGTTATCCTTTTCGCGTTTCCATTAATCTATCAACTTTACTAGCCTACAAACAACCCTGTCGCGCAAGGCCGGTTCCCCGTGTGTTGCGAAGCCGCGACGTTTAAGTTGAAGGTCAACTAGTACAATTATTAATACACATTCTAATGATTTTCCATGTTAATATATCTTTATAAGTATGATTACATATATTTAAAGTTGTTTGGTTCGTACACAAGTGATAAGAATATTTATAGCTATGTTTTTATTTGCTTTTAATAAAAAAAATCCTAAGTACAACAAAACTTAAATGGTACATATAAATAAAGGAAATATACTTGCACATGTAGATAATTAACAAAATCTGAAATTGGTTATTTCATTTTTACGTAATCAATGTTAGAATATACATAGCAATATTTATAATGTTATGAATACATAATAATTTGTATTTTTAAAATTCTTTATCAGTGTGGAAATAGGAGAATCAGTACGAGGAGAAGATGTATACATTGTACAAAGTGGAAGCGGAGAAGTAAATGACAATTTGATGGAATTATTGATTATGATCAATGCTTGTAAAATTGCTTCTGCATCTAGAGTAACTGCTGTAATTCCTTGTTTTCCATATGCGAGACAAGATAAGAAGGATAAGGTAGGATATATTAATACAATACTTTTTCCATATTTTTATCTAATGTATGTTATCTATAATACATTAGTAGAAATTTAACAGGAAACTTGAATGTACTTGCATCACAGTTTGTAAAAATAGATTATAAAATTTTATCTAAAGAAAGTTTTTGTTTTTAATATTGTGTTTAATATAAAAAATTTTTTAATTTATATGTTGTGATATTTGTTGTTTGTTTTTCTTGTTATTGATTATAAAATATTTATATCTACAAATTAATGTATGTTCATACAATTTTATATTTTTATTATATATTTTTTCAAAAATATTTCAAGATTTTGTTCTTTATATTGATTAAGGGAATTTAAAAAGAAATTAGAATTTGAACACAAAACTAATGTTATTCAGTTTCGACTACATCATGAAGTGAATATCTAAGAAATTGTGTGAATGTAAGATTCTTACGTAACAAAACAACTTATAGAAACTATGCTTCAATGATTCTAATATTGTAGGTATGTAATAGTTATCTTGTTGATGTATGCCATTAATTAACCTGATTACATTGCTTTGAATATACAAGTAAAGTGAATACTCCTGTAGGAAAATTATAATGTGATACTTTTCATGTAGTTGTATGATATGTAAATTTTTTAATTATCTTTGTAAATATCTATATTTTCTACAGTTGGATGTTTATTATGTGCTTATTTCTCTCAAGTAAGCATTTCTGATGTAATAATCACATGAAGTACGTATTGTTGGTAACTTGTGTGATAGGTTCTGGTTTTAATCTAAATGTATATTTTATATCATCTGTAATCGTATGAGATGAAAATATGGCTCTCGCAATAAAGAGAACACAAGTCATTGAAGGAGTAGTTAAATTTTGTTTTTATATGATATCTTCACAGGGTGGTGATGGAGGTGACAACTCAAATTCTAAGAAACAAATTGTCATGAAGTCAAACGAATGGAAATTCAGGGTAACTTGTAGTGGTCTTTTTTCCTTTCTTACTGTTTAATAGCTTTGCAACCACCAATTGGAATAATGATCATATATGGAATGTTGAACACGAATTTCTTCATCGTATAAAAAATGCTTTTAACTTTTTAGCTTTTATCATTGGGTCTTAGCAAATGGTGTACTCATTTTACAAGATTTTTATTATCTTGTATCTGAATTTTTGCAACAAGTGTACATTTTACATAAATTTAATATTTATATCAAATTATAGATTATAGCACAAATAAATTACAGTTGTAAATATGTACTGCAAGCAGTTTAAATGTACTACATGAATATTTATTGCATGTAAATATACATGCAGAATTGCTCATTTTACAAATGGAACTGCATGAAAGTTATACAGGCACTATTAGCATGCACATCAAAATCAAGGGTACTATACTAAACAGAAAGAATCATTCATCTTACTCATTCTATGGATAATTTAAACAGCGAACATACATTTCATGAAAAAACTCATGAAATTTGCATGAATTAATTTTCCAGGAACATTCATTTTAATTGACATATATACCTGCTGCAATATACCATTTTGTATTTTATACAGCAGTGGTATAAATGGAATAATATATCCAGGAAAAAGTTAACATAGTAGTAAACAATAAATACATTACAGTTAAAGCATCGGATTTAGCAATTATCTAAGGTTATCACAAGATGGATAACCCACATGAATATTGCAAAACTATTATCAGAATTCGTCGAGGGGGGCCTTTCGCTCGTTACTACTACAATATTTACAATCATTGTGTACTAAATATGATTAGGTTTATTAAATTTTCTAGTAAACTAAATTTTTATTATTATTTATTCAAAAGGGTGACAATTGTATGCTACTATGTTACAAAGAAATAAGCACACTAAAAACATATCATTGTAATGAAAATTTTATAAATAAATCAAAAATGAATTATATTATGAAAAATAAATTATATTGTCGAAACGATTTTTATTAAAATATGTTAAATACATATTCTTAAATTTCTGAATACATAGTTGGGTATTTTCAGGATTATCTGCCTGAGCTCTCTACAGTGAGTATAAAAACACGATTGTCGAGTGTAAAGTTTGTAGCTGTAACATGATGAACAATTCAATTTGTAATATTATTTTTAGTTTCTTACAAAACTTTCTTTGTAGGACTAACAAAACTTATCTTTTGTTGCTATATTATACAATGGTACGCCCATAAACGAATGAATGAACTATTTGGTCCAAATATATTGATACCTGAATGAGAGGGCAAAATATTAATATAATAGCATTCTACATACATTCTTAATAATCTACATATACATAATGGGGTATACACCTGTATGTTAAATGGGTACTAATTATTATATTCCTAAGGATAATATCGTCTGAACATACTAATCAAAGAATGCCTGTTTTATTAATGAAATAGTGCTTTAGAAAAAAATGATAAAAATTGTGATTGTGTCGCTCTGATAATAGTACGTTATACTAATAATACAAATAAAAGTATTTTTAAGATGTTAACATTAGCCAGCTTTTGTGAAGTTTATGCTGATCATAGATAAGTTAATGAAGATGACTTACCTGCAGCTACTCCTCCGAGCACAATGCATTTGTTTTTAATAAAGAAAAAAAATAATAAATCAAAAGTATTAATATCAATGTTTTTGTTATAAACTTCATTTATAATTTTAAGCTTGCAGGATTATTTAATCTATTATTTCACATGTCTTTAGATACTCCAAAGACAACATTTAAGATCAAGATGCACTGTGTTCTGTTTTTTTAATATATAAGTTTGATTTATGCTTCATTTACACTTTTGTTGAGTCTAACTGGGGTGCATTTGCAACATACCGTTTTTTCCTTTTTATTTTATATGTATACATGTACAATATATTTTTAATATTTATTTCAGCACATAGCCATTGTATTCATATTTTGTCCCCTCTAAAAAATTAATACTTAAAATTTTTTTTGTGACACTCTTTTTTGATAAAAACTATTTTGAGTTATATATCGACACATTCATTTATTAGGCTTATTATAGCCTTTCAGTGAGCTATACAAATTTTAATAGCAATTTTTTTCAAATTGCAGGATATTTCCGGTTGCAAATGGACTCAAGAGACTCATGTAAATTTATAAAATTGAAATTCATAACTGTGTTTTTTTCAGAGTCGTGCACCTATTTCGGCGAAATTAGTAGCAAACATGCTATCAGTAGCAGGAGCTGATCACATAATTACAATGGATTTGCATGCTAGTCAAATTCAAGGTTTTTTCGACATTCCAGTTGACAATTTATTTGCTGAACCTGCTGTTCTTAAATGGATCAAAGAAAATATTGTTGAATGGCGAAATAGCATTATCGTTTCTCCAGATGCTGGCGGTGCTAAAAGGTAATAAATCATATTGAAAGTTAACTTGAAATATATTTATATAATATTTTGTTTCAATAGGGTAACATCTATCGCCGATCGATTAAATGTTGAATTTGCGCTTATACACAAAGAAAGAAAGAAAGCAAATGAAGTTGCTAGTATGGTATTAGTTGGAGATGTAAAAGATAGAGTTGCTATTCTAGTAGATGATATGGCTGATACTTGTGGCACTATATGTCACGCGGCTGAAAAACTTCTGGAAGCCGGAGCAACGAAAGTATATGCAATTTTAACACATGGAATCTTTAGTGGTCCGGCTATTAGCAGAATTAATAATGCATGCTTTGAAGCTGTGGTAGTTACAAATACTATTCCTCAAGATGGTCATATGAAGGATTGCCCAAAGATACAAGTAAGTATTTTATATTAAATTGTGTATAGTCTTCAGTGAGAAAGAATATTTTTGTATGTTTTAGTGTATCGATGTATCGATGATGTTTGCTGAGGCTGTAAGGCGGACTCACAATGGTGAATCCGTATCGTACCTGTTTTCAAATGTACCGTATTAGATAAACATTTTCCTAACAATGACCTCTGTCAAACCATGTAAGGAGAATGTAATCTTTTTACATCTCTTATTTTTAGTTTAGTTTAATCCGTTTGCCTATAAGCGCAAACTTGGGATCAATACTAATGTCCCAGTTTTTTAATTTGAAAACTATACATACTCCTTTCTTTGATAGATGATGTGTGTAGAAAATGAGACTTTAGATGGATAAATCATACTGTACTGTCCATTTAAAAGAAAAAAAGAAAAAATATAAGTTGATAACTAATAGATGCCATCAATTAGCTTCAGAGTAAAATCCGTTAAAAGTAATTGAATTGTCGCTAGGCTGCTATTTATTATGCAGAATACATTGTTATTTTGTTTAGGATACAGATATCGCATTGTTTGACCCAAATTGTGCATTGTTAGAGAAACATCTGTTACTTTCATATACAATGCTACTACATTAATCCTAACAATGGTACATAACTCGGAGACAAAGTATCGCGATGAATACGTGAAGGAATTCGGGCAGTATCACTATATTATTAGTAGCATATCTCATTTTTTACAGTCAAATATATAAAAATTTGCAACATCTGTGAATATTTTTCAAGTGGTATTACAAAGCGTCGAAAAAAAACTAGCTTTTTACAATTCTAATATGATACTGTTTATTAGATTATATACAATGGAATAATAATGTCAGAAAGACATTATATTTTTTTCATGTTTTACTATCACAATTTTTAAGAAAGGCCGCTATTTATATAAACATAATTATAATTGACAAAACAATTATATTTCCTCGTATAATAAATGAATGACTTCGGTGTCATCTACTCAGTTAGCTTTGGACCAATATAACATGAAAATACAAGTCAATACAAACACAGCATTCTTCATATGTAAATTTCTCTTAATTCGATAAAAAGTGCCACCTGTTAATACACTGGGTATTACAATAAATATCTCTATAAATTATATAATTTTAATTCTTTATTGCTATGATGAAAAATTTATATACACGATGAAATCTATGTATAATGATAATTTAAATGCTATAATTACAATTTGTTATTTCATAATTAATTGTTAAGAATTATTCTTTTCAAGCTTATATTGCGTATGAAACGTAATTGAAACAAAACGAGTATAACTGCTTCAAGTATGAAGTTTATAATCTTGTTTAATTTTTATTAATAACTATAACATATTGACATATAGTCTATATGTTGCACCATAATACTCAAATACTATTGTATTTTATTGAATTGTATCACTAATAATTAATGTTTATTATATTGTAATTAAAAGAAAGTATAAACAGGTCAGTTATAAACAATGATGTAACTATATCAAATACCATGTTTCTCGACTGCGATCAAAGTATTTTGTTAAAATAACAATGTATGTAATTAAGATCTTACAAATTGTATAACACAATACGAAGGTGTACCTTAATCCATAATTTAATTTATAGTATTATGTGCAGCAATTTATTGAAACTAAAACTGTGTAAATTTTATATTATGAAATACACAGTACATGGGATTCCTATTTGTTTAAACATATTTGTGAGTAAATTTTTAAAATGTTATGAACGAAAATTGTATTTAAGTACAAAAAGTTTCTATTTACATACTATTTTATATAAATAATACTACAGTGATTATAATGTTTCTACATTTATAAAGAAAAAATTATATGTCAAAAATTTAATTTCGACGCTTTTTTAACACTAACATAAATCGATAATATTTGAAAATGTGCATTATGATCTTCATTTGTTCAAATAAAACTGTACCTATTATAAAATAGTACCTCATTTGTAGAAATTCATAAAAATATATAAATAAATAATTTAAACTGCCAATATCTCAATATTGCGTATGTAAGAATTATAACTAGAAAACTTACTGCTATATATCTTACTTTCTTTATAATTTACAATGACCAGGTGGCAATGTTATGTCGAATACTACTGGTGGATTACTTGGTAAATAGTTTAAATCACATGTTGATGCGTTTACATATATTATTTTCCCATCAGATGAAATACCATACCCTGTAATGACGGAAATATATATTTTATTGTGTAAAACAAAACAAACTTGTACAATGTACCTTCATGTATATGACCAAAAACATGATATTTCGGCTTGACTCGATTTTGAACAGTAGAAAGTAATTCCACACATCCAGCTCGTACACCGCTACAGCACAGATCTCCGTGTCCTACAGGAGGTGTATGTGTTATAAGGATATCTGTGTCTGTTGGTATCATGTCCCATTTTGAAAGGCATGGTGCTCCTCGAGGTACATTAAATGCCCATTTACAAAATTCTGGTTGCCTAAATTGTAAAGAAAATTTGTTTAGAGTAGTAAATCTTACGTTTGAAATAGTATTCTACAAATATTGTCCACTGCATTATTCTTTTATATGTTATTCACCCATATTTTTCGTTGTTATATGATAGTACTGGATACAACATCATGCTAGATCATAAATTCACACATAAATATTTACCATGGTGTACCATATATTTTTATTCCATGTATAACAATTTCAGAATCTTCTAAGTAGGTACAATTTGTCAAATAATCTTTAACATTAGTGGTCTGTATCGCTTCTGCAAGAGTGTCTTTAGACATTCCCAATGTGGGTATATTGTCAAGAATACTGGTCCCTGTATGTTTTTGACGATCCCCACTAGTGTGTAAGGAAAAAGGATTGGTAAATGTAGGATCAAAGCTAAGCTCATGGTTGCCAGCAATAACAATCTTATACTTATGTGGTAAATTGCCTGCAACAAAATACCTTAAGATATATATTAATATAAAAAAATATATGGAATAAACATGTATGTTTTATTTTACCAATCCAATTGTTAAACTCTATGACTTCTTGTAAGCTACCACATTTTGTAAAATCTCCAGCATGAATAAAGACATCTCCTAGTGGTATATCAAATTTTATAAATGGAGTTAATGAATGAGTATCACTCATACAAACAACACGAAGCTGTAATGCAATGAAATATTATAAACAATTATTTTCTATTTGAGAGTTTCTGTCACTGAATGAATGGACATACTGTTGCTTTTAGGTTAGATTTAAATGTATGTTCAAGAATGATAAAATTAGAAATAATTTGATCATTTTACCTTATCATTTGGTGCATCAGTAGTTGGCAGTTTAGCATTTATTTTAATAACTTTTTGCTGTTGTGATAATTCACGCCAAGCTGCTGTAGGATTAGCTGTTAATGGATGAATCTCTATGTTCATGCTGAAGAGATTGTGATACTCGGTTGTCAATTTTATTGTTGTTATGATAAAAACTTAAAATTAGTAAGTTTGTATACAACTGTTTTGCTACATACATAAGATCAACTTCATTTTGCACTTTTCATTTAGAAATATTCATAAATTTAACGTCAAAAATAAATCTGAAGTAGCTTATGAATTTACTTCTTTATTCCGCTTGGGTAATTAGTTTTTATTGCACACGATATTATTATATTCTGTTTAACACAATAATTCTTATGTATCAATTATTTCAGTTGTTAGTATGACAAATAAATTCGTTGCAAATAATTAAATATTGAAGGACCACTCCAAATTTTCGCGCCCAGGCATGAACTAATATGTTCGAATTTTGAACAGATATGTTGGCTCGATCTAAAAATTGTTATGAAATATTGATTAATGTTATGCTTTAGATAGTCTTAACTGTTTAAAATATCTAAGATAAAATGCATAATTTACTCATAAAAAATAATAATTATTTTAATAAAATGAGTGATACAAATAGAAATGACCAATCAGCTGTTCACCTGCAAGTATTCATATTTAATTATTTGTACATACCATTTACTATGTAAATAATATGTCGAATGCATATTGTTATCTTTCTTAGAAAGTTTAAATAATCATTTCAACAGTTGGACAACGTCAATTGTACTTTGATCTGCATTAATTTAATATAAATGTACTTTGGCCTTTATTTGTAATCTGTACTGGCAACAAATAGGATTTTGGATTTTTGAAGATTACAGATAAATTAAGTGCTTAATATAAGAAATTGTCAATTATCTATTATTTTAAAAACAGTTGTATCGTTGTCACTGTTAAGTTAAAGAATACTTTTTGTAACATAATAGAAATAAAAGGTGCCAAAATGTTTTCACGTCTGGTAAGTTATTTCTCAAATAAAAGATTTAGGAAATAATATTTAAAATATATAGATAAATATGTGGAACTAATGTCAAGTAATCTATATTAAAGAATTATACTAATATTGTAATATATAAATATTAGGTATTTAAGAAAGTGACACAGCAAAAAATAGTGCGAGCATTTTCATCTGATATTGCCACAGGATATAATTTTGGTTAGTATAATGTATAAAAATATAGCAATATTACTGAATATTATTAAAATGTTATATTTGATGTTTTTGTTCATATGTAAATAACGTTCATTTTTTTGTGATTTTTACTTTAGAATTAAATGAAACACAAAGGGAAATGCAAGAATTGGCACGAAAATTTACGAAAGAAGAAATTATTCCAGTAGCTGCTGAACATGATAGAACAGGAAAATATCCATGGGATATTATTAAAAAAGCATGGAGTTTAGGACTCTTAAACAAAGCTATACCTCAACATTGCGGTATAATTACAAATTTATATAACTTGAATGTAAAATGAAATTTGAAAAACATATATCATAGATAGACAAATTATTATTGTAGGAGGAATGGAAGTTGGTACTTTTGATGGCTGTTTAGTTGCAGAAGAATTTGCTTATGGTTGTACAGGAATATCAACTGCATTGGAAGGATCAGGATTAGGTGTAAGTTGTATTATAAGCAATTTTTATGTATATAAAATACAAACTGTAACTTGAAAATTTTTTTAATGAATTGTATGTAGCAAGCACCAGTAATTGCATTTGGAACAAAAGAACAACAAAAGAAATATCTTGGAAGACTCATTGAAGAACCACTTGTTGCTGTAAGATAAACAAAGTTCTTAACACATATTTGAAATAGTTTAACATATTTACACTCTATAAATTTTAGGCCTATTGTGTTACTGAACCTGCAGCTGGTTCAGATGTAGCAGGAATTAAAACAAGAGCTGAAAAGAAAGGAAAAGAATGGATTCTTAATGGCACAAAAATGTGGATAACTAATGGCGGTGTAGCTAATTGGTACAAATAATTACTTATAATATTATTTATTATTATCTTGTTATACATTATACATAAAAAATAAATTTTGTATAGGTATTTCGTTTTGGCAAGGTCAAATCCTGATCCAAAAGTGCCAGCTGGTAAAGCTTTTACAGCTTTCATTGTCGAACGCGAAAGCGAAGGTTTAACACCGGGTCGTAAAGTAAATTTTATTACTCTTGACATTATTGTACCGAAACTGATATTACTTCACCTTTTAATATCGACTAAATTTACTTAGGAAATAAATATGGGTCAGAGAGCTTCTGACACTCGAATGATAACATTTGAAGATGTCCGTGTTCCAGAAGAAAATGTTTTAGGCAAGGAAGGTGAAGGATTTAAAATCGCTATGAGAACGTTCGATAAAACTAGACCAATGGTACACTAGATGTAATACCCATACCGTAAAAGGAAACACGAGACTGGTGTCTGAATTTTGGTTTTTGTAGGTTGCAGCCGGATCTGTTGGTTTAGCTCAAAGAGCATTAGACGAAGCTACAAAATATGCATTAGAACGTAAAACTTTTGATAGAGTAATAGCTGAACATCAAGCTGTAGCGTTTATGCTTGCCGACATGTCAATCGGAGTCGAGACAGCTAGACTTGCGTGGATGAAGTCAGCTTGGGCTGCCGATAATAATCTGCCAACAGCCACAGCACTTGCTAGCGTTGCAAAATGTTATGGTGGCGATGTCGCTAATAAATGTGCAACGGATGCAGTACAAGTATATAATCGTTTATTATAAATCGTGCTTCTGATTAACAAAATTTTTAACAATTTCATATACTTTAAATTGTTGTTTACAGATTTTTGGCGGTGCAGGATTCAACACTGAATATCCTGTAGAAAAATTAATGCGAGATGCAAAAATTTATCAGATCTATGAGGGCACTGCTCAAATTCAAAGACTTATAATCTCGCGTCATTTACTTAACCAGGCTAAACAAAAAGCTGCGTAATTGGCTGTGTATGCTGTATTGCATCATCATTATGTACAGAGGTAGTTGTCTTTACATAAACTTTCATATTTTTTTATGCCCTTTTATACCTACATTTAACCGATTTCAGCACTCACGTTGCCTTTAAAAAGTATTTCGTATACGCATATACTCTGTTCTAATCCGTATATACAATATATATTTTTTATAACACTTTGTATGGTTGTTGTTAAAAATTAAAATTTTACAAAAATCGTTAACTCCACGTTGCGTTTTTACTTTATTACGTATTTTTATTAAACGACATGGATATTAAGGGAAGATAGATCAAATACGTTGTTTCGATATTTTGAATTTCGCGCCTTCGGATGTTAGATAGCGCTGCAAACGTTATCCGAAAGCGTTAGTCAAGTGTATTGTACAATGAAAAGAGATTACATCGCATTATGTCCGTCAGGTCATAGTTTTTACACGGTTATATTTGGTGAAGTCGTGCGTGACGAGTTATGCAACATTTGGTGTAAAAGCGCCCCATAATAAGACGACCAGATATTGTGACACCTGACCTACTTAGACAGTATCGTCGTATTTAAGACAGTGGTAAATTGACAGCGTTCGTAACACGAAAAACGCATTTGACAGCCTTTCAATTTGCAGGTTCTAAATGCCTGCTAACACGAGAGAACAGGGAAATCTTTCGGAAATTGCGTCTTTCCGTGATACATTATTGGAACACAGTGCCGTGACTAGTAAACCTTGGTACCCATATAAGACCACGCTCGATACGTTCCATCTTTCAAATTACTTTTCCTTTTGTCACTGTTCATTGCCGGAAAATTAAAGTAAAAATTATCTGATTATTTCGGTGTTCGAGATTTCGTTTCGAGCATGCAAATATGTTTGGCTGTTCTCTTTCTAGGTCGCGTGGCATTTACGGGACGGGTATACTCATATTTTCCCTTTCGTTACCCACTGACGTGCCCGTGAACGTAATATCGGGCGCAATATAATTCATCAATAGTTTGTTCGCGTTAGCTGTATTCAAATTGTTACAAAAACAGGAATTTAATTTTGTATTTTGAAATAGTCGATTAATTTTACATTTGCGTATTTAATTAGTCCGTAACATTGCACCTTGCAATCAGTGTACCTAACTTGAATCATAATCATGCAACGCGTTAAAATTGAATCGATCAACTGTTCGATAAATTAACGAAATGAAATTCATTTTTCGCAGATCATAAAGACACAAGTCATCCGCTACACTTTGAAAATTAATCGAAACATCGTCGACTAACATCATCGATCGTAATAAAGAAAGGAGATAGGAGACGTGAAATAAATTCTCAGCATCGTTCTACGACGCATGATTTTTTAATTTTACGAACCCGTTCGTAACAACACATCGATCAATCGAAGCTGCCGTTTGAAATCGACGCCGCGAGCAAACGTCGCGACGAGATAAAATTCAAAAAGAGGATTAACGGAAGAAGATCGATAGATGGTAGACCGCGATGGCAAGAACGAGGCGTCGATTATCGAGAAACGTGTTTTCGGTGGTCGGTAGTGACAGAACGGATAGGTCGCGGGCACTAACGCGGAGCATACGACCCTGTAACTCGTGCTGTCAGAGCGCAACGGTGCGCCGGACGCTCGCTTGACTAAGGGAGTGCCCGTCCCGATGCAAAGTGTAAGTGAAGTGGCCTACAGACCTACATTTGTCTAACGTTCGATTTTTTTCGAGCCGGCGGACAGGAGGTTAATAATCCGCGCGGGGCTCATTTTTCCGCGGGCGTGTGTGATGTCGCTGTTGTGTGATATACCGATGTTCGGTTGAAAGAGACGGTGTAGTTTCGGTACGCTCAGACGGCGCTGGCCGGCGCGGGGAGCGTAGTAGTAAAAAGAGAGAAGGATAGCAAGAGCGTGCGCACACGAGGAGGAACAGAGAGAGAAAGAGAGGGAAAACAGGGAGAGAAGGAGAGACAGAAGGAACAAGACCGAGCGCGCGCTTCTGTCGACTAGACAGAGAGAAAAGGAAAGAAGACAGACAGATAGATAGACGGGGGTAAGAGAAAGAGAGAGAGAGATAGCGCGAGGGTGCGTAAGAGAGTGTAGGTGTTTTGGAGAGAAGTGCGTGCGCTCGGGGACGACGTGCAGGAGGAGGGACCCCCGTCTGTCTGTCTGCTGGAATGCACGAGGGCCGAATGGCTACGGGGACAGGGGAAGGTGGGGGCCACACGGCCCTCGAGAACACCACCGCGACGGCCCTTACGGAATCATCGTCATCCTCCTCCTCCTCGGTACCGAACATCCTGACGGAAAACAACACCGTGGCTAATCCGCCTTTGACCGAACCTCAACAGCAGCCGAACCTTCATCAGGTACAGCAGCAGCAACAGCAGCAGCATCAGCAACAGGCTCAGCAACAGCACTCGCGGCCACGGGTTAACTTAGTCACCGATCTGCCAGCGAGCGATGCCTCAGGTAACCTCAAACACTAGTTTCTATGCTCTCGCGTTCTTTGTTGTCGTGGTATACCGCTCTTGCCAAAGTCCCTTCTTCTTTCTTCTGCTTTGCCCTCCTCTTTGCTTCACTCTCGTTCTTTGCCGTTTCTCCTTCTCGCTTTCGCTTTCGCTTTCGACCATCTCCCTCTCGCTTTGTGCGTGCAGTCTCTCTCGTCCTTTCCTTTTCTCGCCAACGCGTACACGCTGTATGCGTCCCCTCTCTTTCTCGCTTTCGCCCGTTCTCTCTCTTTCGTCGTCTCGTTTGCTCGCCTACCCGTTCCACTCATTTGCCCGCGAGCTCTCGCGACTCTGTCCACTTCCGAAGTTACAGGTACACACGGATCTCGTTCTCCGGTTGCAGGCATTACGCGGTTTACTCTTAGACTTTATAATTTCCTACGCTCCCTGTTGCGACCGTTTCTTTTCCTTACATCGATTCACCGGGAATAGCGGTATTAGAGATGGAAAGAGAACTATTAACGTCTTGACTTTATCGCGACCGGTCGTTAATAAAACGCGTAGAAATGAGTCTCATTCATCGATGCTCATTCTTAACGAGCTACTCGTGCGCTGGCAATGTTTATCGATACGCACGGCGGGAAAACTTGAACTATTGAGTTGTCAGAAAAATTCGATATCGAAGTCTTATAAACGACTTGTACACATATTCTGTAATACCTATACTTTTTAAGTGGCATACTGCATTTCTCAAGTTTGATGTTCCCTTATCAAAATGATAAACCTATTCAAGTACGGGCCAATAGCGATATGTCACCTGACTATGCACAACGAATGGGAATCTAAGGGTGACTTAAGACAAAATGCTTAAACCCATACTCGCATAACGATCGTTGTTTACCTTAAAACGTTAAGAACAACGGAGATTCGCGACGAGAGTCGCTTGATGGGAGTCGAAATGGTCGTTTACATCGGAGGTTCGCGCGATAACAGGCACACGAACGATGAAGCCAGATAATGATCTCGAGACACGCGTTATTTCGCGCGCGATAAAATCGAACGCGGTGCCAAGGAATCGGCGGGGGTGCGCTGTCTATGCGATTCTTGGAGCGTCGGCCGTGTCGCGCGCCACGGTACGCGCAACAGGCGTTTCGCCGCGAATTCCAAAGCGAAGATGCAAACGGAGCCTCCCGCTGGCCATCCCGCTGCCTCGGATTTAGAACAGACAGCCTTCGAGCGTTTCTTTATGAACGTTGCCACCGACCCTTCGCGGACAAAATAGCGGTTCGATGAAACGAGACTTGCTCGCCTTTATTTACGTCTCTCCCTCCTCTCTCCTGTTGCATCCCCTCCTTTCTTTTTGCGCGGTGCATCGATTGCGAGACGAATTTTTCGGAAACAATGTCCAACCCGATTATCTTACACCTTTTCTCTTTTTGCGCAATCTCCTTTCTTCCTGTCCTTTCTGTATTTACTCGCTCGAACGGAACGGACTCGGGAGAGTATTTCTGGTAACACGGTTTTTCTTTCATAAGGTTAAGGTGTCTCGTCAGTATGAAAACAATGTTTTAGTGAAATGTAAGGAAGTAGTTCTTTAACATTTTGACTGCCACATATGGGTGACGCTTAATCTTCCATACGAATGTATCATCTATATCATTAAGAATTTGTCTAATTAATTGGAAATATTCGTATTAATTATTTGAAACTATGAATAATAAATATAACTGAATAATGTGAGAGTATTTGGTAAGATTTGTTAGAAACAGAAATACTATCTAATATAATTTGCAGCTGCTTCTGTGTGGCAGTCAAAACGTGTTAACGAAAAATAGTTCCGTTTTCCGCTGGTCATACAGCGCTGCTGTCGTGTGGAAAATTTCTGAACCGACGTATGATTTTCTTTTCAAGATCCTATGTTTAGAATCGCCTAGAATCGCCTCGAATTGTATCGAATTGAATCGGATGGTATTCGAGTGGGCCTTCAATTGAATCATGTCCAATCGAATTACGTGAATTGGAATCGCGCGGAATTGAGTCGTGTCGGACTGAATTATATCGAACTAACTTGCGTGGAATTGAACCACATTGAGTTGTACAGGATTTAATGTACGTAGAGTCGAATCATCTCGAATTGCGTCGAATCATGACGAACGTTCTTGTACATATTTAGAGCATTCGTTTATTTACTGTTTATCGTTTATTTTATTTTTTGCTCCGTCGAAAGGCACCCTTACTCGAATCCGTGTCAAAGTGCTTGGACTGGCAAGAATATCTAATTACTGGATAAACAAGCAGTGCGAGTAGGGCCATACTCGAGGCTTGAAAACGATTCTTCTGGTATCGATATTCGCGGTGGTCTCGCGGCTGATCGACTTGGCGCGGCGTGCGCGCGCGGTTTAATTTCCTTAACCGTGACACGGCTATCGATTCGGCGAAGGTGGGTCAAAAAGGAGCCACCGCGAGTAAAACGAGTCCAATTTCCCGCTGTTCGCGATAAAGATGTCAAGTATGAATATTCATGGCTCTCGCCAGCATTAATGCAGATAATTAGCTGCATTGTGGCATTGCACGATTACGCGGGCTCGTTACAGTCGTGTTGGCTTATGTTTCTCCTCGCGTCAAGGGCAGTTTGCACTCTATTTTCTCCGTTTGCCCGTGATCGGCAACGTTGTTACGTCGTTTGTCCGTGTTCTTTTTCCTTTTTTTTTTATTCTTCGTTCTGTCTCCCGACCCCCTTTTAGCCGAGTTTACAATTAGCGTTCCCGTTTCGAATTGTTGGTACTTGCGCAGCCGGT